AAAGTATCAACCCAGGAAAAACCCCGGAACAGGTGAACCAGCAGAAAGACGAGGTGCAGCAGTGTTGTGGCCCAGGAAGCTTGGGGGATTAACGTTAAATGCCCCTCTTGCTCTGGGGGAAGGGGAGTAGTACAGAATGGGAGATGTTCCAGCAAGCTAGTGGAAAGCCCCACCTGGGCATACCAGGGGGACTATTAATAATTGCATAAAGTGCTCTAAATCACTAATAATTAGAGAAACATAAATTAAAACAACTTCTCAAACACATCTGAATGGTTAAGATGACAAAATGAAAATTAAAATGACAAACCATAGAGAGGATGGGGGGAGAATGGGTACACTAATGAGCTATTGGTAGAACTATGAACTGGTCCAACCATTTTAGAAAGCAGCTTGAAACTATCCCAAAAAGCTAATAACCTGTGCATGCCTTTTGACCCAGCATTACTAGGTCTATATACAAAGAAATCAAAGAAAGAAGAAAAGGACTCATGTACAAAGATATTTATATTTATATTTATAGTTATATTTGTATTCCTTTTGTAGTGGCGAAGAATAGGAAACTGAGAAAGTGTCCATCAATTGGGGAATGGCTGAACAAGGTAAGATATTTGAATGTGATGGAATACTGTTGTGCTATAAGAAATGATAAAGGGAATAGTTTCAGAAAAATCTAATAAAACTTGTATGAACTGATGCAAAGTGAAGTAAGCAAAACCAAGAAACCAGTAGATACAGTGCCAGTCGTGAAGACTCATCTGAGTTCAAATTCAGCCTCAAACACTTACTAGCAGTGTGATACTGGACAAGTCACTTCACCCTGTTTGCCTCAGTTTCCTCACCTGTAAAATGAGCTGGAGAAGGAAACGGCAAACCACTCCAGTATCTTTGCCAAGAAAACTCAAATGGGGTCACGGAAAGTTGGACATGACTGAAAAATGACTAAATAAATAAACATCAATATATGAAGGTAATCCACTTCAAAAGACTTAATAACTGATCAGCACAATGATCAACCACAATTTCAAAGGATTCACGATGAAACATGCTATCCACTTCCAAACAGAGAGACCTGACAGCCTCAGAGCACAGATCAAAGCATATTATCTTTCTTTTTCTTTTCTTTTTTTGTTTGACATGACTAATACAAATATTTAGTTTGTGTGACTACACATATTTGCAATAGGCTTTGTTTTTCTTGCCTTCTTAACAGGTAAAGGAAGAGAGAATTCAGAACTGAAAATTAATTTTAAAAAATTTAAAAGAATAAGTCATCCTCTTCATACCAGAAATTCCTATATCAAAAAGGACACACACAAAGCCTGTGGTTAGGAAAACTGCTTCTATTAAAAATGTGCCTGTCGATGAGATCACTTCATTTGCAGGAAAACACTTTTATTGTTCATGTGAGGAAACAAAGTTTACTACCTATTTTGTAGGAATTCTCTGCTAAAGTGAAAAAGGAGGATGTTCTATTCCTACCTTTTTTGCCTCACCACATATTGCCAGAAATTCTTTGCTATCTGGCCTCTGCTACTTCAAGAAGAAAAGAAAAGGAAAGAACTTTGGGCTCATTTTGTTGTTGTTCTCTCATGTCTGACTCTTCACGACCCCAATTTGTGGTTTTCTTGGCAAAAATACTGGAGTGGTTTGCTATTTCCTCCTCTAGCTCATTTTTACAGATGAGTAAATTGAGGCAAACAGGGTTAAGTGACTTGCCTAAGGTCACACAGCTGGAGGGGCGGAGCCAAGATCGCAGAGGGAAAGCAGTGACTTGCTTGAGCTCTCTCCCCAAACCCCTCCAAATACCTATAAAAATGACTCTAAACAAATTCTAAAGCAGCAGAACCCACAAAAAGACAGAGTGAAACAAATTTCCAGCCAAAGACAGCCTGGATGGTTGATTGGAAAGGTATATCGCACCAGGTGGGGAGAAGAGCACAGTGTGGCGTGGGCACGCAGGCCGCAGCAACCCTGGAGCAGACCTCACAGGATTGATCGCGGGCAGCTGTGGTGGTTTCCAGACTTCTCAACATACAAATACCAAAGACAACTTTGAAGGTCAGTGGGAAAAGTCTGTGACTGCGGTGAGAGAAGGAGCCAGGTCTCAGCCGCAGGTTCTGAGCGTGGCCTCTGGGGCAGCGTCTGCCTCCTAAGCTTCCAGCCCACAGACTGAGGGGGAATCAAGCTGCTGATTAGAGGGGTATTGCAGGGATCTCTTTGCCAGTCCTGAGGCAGGAATCTCTTGCTTTATCAGTGCTTGGATCTGGGTCACAGTTCTGAGGGGTGGTCCTGGGGTGAGGAGGAGCACTGGTGTGGTGAAACTTGTGGCTGTGGAGAGGAAACACCTCACCCCTTATCATACCACCTTGGAAGAACTGAAAATTTACAGATCCTTAGAAGTACCTCTGAAAATAGCTGTACAAACCCCTGAAGCTTGGGACAGTACACTCTTCATATTGGAAGCAGACTTTTACCTTAACAAAGAGTTTAAAACTCAAGTAATTGGCCAGGATCATGAGTAAGCAGCGCAAAAAGAGTCAGACTGTATTATCTTACTTTGGTGACAAAGAAAATCAAAACATACAACCAGAAGAAGACAACAAAGTCAAAGCTCCTACATCCAAAGCCTCCAAGAAAAATATGAAGCAGTCCCAGGCCTTGGAAGAGCTCAAAGGGATTTTGAGAAGCAAGTAAGAGAAGTAGAGGAAAAGCTGGAAAGAGAAATGAGAGTGATGCAAGAAAATAATGAAAAACAAGTCAACAGCTTGCTAAAGGACACCCCAAAAAATACTGAAGAAAATAACACCTTAAAAAATAGCCTAACCCAAATGGCAAAAGAGGTCCAAAAAGTCAATGAAGAGAAGAATGCCCTAAAAAGCCCTAAAAAGCAAAATTGGCCAAATGGAAAAGTCCAAAAGATTACTGAAGAAAATACTTTCTTAAAAATTAGAATAGAGCAATTGAAAGCTAGTGACTTTATGAGAAATCAAGACACTGTAAAACAAATCCAAAAGAATGAAAAATTAGAAAACAATGTAAAATATCTCACTGGAAAAACAACTGACCTAGAAAATAGATCCAGGAGAGACAGTTTTAAAATTATTGGACTACCTGAAAGCCATGATCAAAAAAAGAGGCTAGACATCTAAGGTCACACAGCTAGTGTCTGAGGCCAGATTTGAACTCAAGCAGATGAGCCTTCCTGACTCCAGGCCCAGCACTCTATCCACTGTGCCACCTAGCTGTTTCTTCAGGCTTGTAGAATCCCAAAAAGTTAGATCTAGAAGCTTACTTTTTCCCCATTCCAGTCTCCCTTTACAAATGAAGAACCTGGAGAGGTTAAATAACTTGATCAAGATCACATAACTAGTTAGTAGCAGAAAAAAGACCTAGACCTCAAATAAACCAAGTCTTAGTCCAGTGTTTCTTTCATCATTGACCACTTCTCTAAATCCAGTGACCCTTTCCTCTGTTCTTATTCTCACTGTCATCTCTGCAGCATTTGACACTGTGGGCCAATTGCTCTCATGTAAATCTCTCAAACCTTGGTCTCCCAGAAAATTCAGTGACCAGAATGTAGTTACCAGACTAATCTTTCTAAAAGAGAGCTTTCATCATGTCATTCCCCTGGAGAAAAGTTGATAATAACTCCCCATTACCCATCGGATCAAGGTTAAGTTGTGCAATTAGATACAGCTGTATATAGAATACTAGGCCTGAATTCAGGAGGACATGAGTTCAAATACTGATGCTGTAAACTTTACTAGTTGTTGGACCCTGGGAAGTCACTTAATTTGTCAGCTTCAATTTTCTCATATGTAAAATGAAGATAATAATAGCACCTATTTCACAGGATGTGAGGATCAAGTGAGATAAATGTAAAGTGCTTCTCAATTGGGTATGGAAATCTGTCTTACCCTACAGGAAAATATGGGGAGAAGGGGACAAGAGAGCAGGGGAGTGATAGAGAGGAGGGCAGATTGGGAAAGGGGGTAATCAGAAACAAACACTTCTGAGGAGGGACAGGGTCAAAAGAAAGAACAGAATAAATGGGGGGACAGGATAGAATTAAGGGAAACAGAGTCAGTTTTTCACAACATGACTACTATGGAAGTGTTTTGCATAACTGTACATGTATAACCTATATTGAGTTGCTTGCCTTTTCAATGAGGGTGGGTGGGGAGGGAGGGAGGGAGAAAATTTGGAACCCAAAGTTTTAAAAACATGTTTTAAAAAAAATGTTTTCACATGCAACTGGGAAATAAGAAATACAGAAAATGGGGTACAGAAATCTATCCTGCCCTACAGGAAAATAGAAGGGGAAGGAGATAAGAGAAGGGGAGAGAGATAGAAGAGAGGACAGACTAGGGAAAGGGATATTCAGAATGCATGCCATCTTGGGGGGGGAAGGGGTGAGATGGGGTGAAAATTTGGAACTCAAAATCTTGTGGAAGTAAATGTTGAAAACTAAAAATAAATAAATTTTAAAAAATCAAATCAAATCATTAAGTTCTAAAAAAAAAAATGTAAAGTGCTTTGCCAGTCTTCAAGTGCTATATAAATGCTAGCTATTATTATTATTACTACTACCTCATAATTACTATTATCCTTCCTATTCAACTTGTCAGGAGGATCATATCCTGACTTACCTTCCTGTTCCCTCATGTTGATTCCTGCTTATTTTCTCATGCTATTCCCCATACCTGGAATGCTCTTCTCCATCCTTCCCACTGATCCAAAGCCTAACAATACTTTAAGACACAATTTCACACCTCCTACATAAAAGGTTTGACTCAAGTATCCTACAACTGGTGATCCCTGTATCTTGCAACTTATCCTTTACACTTATTATCTGCTTGTACCTTCTGGAATTGATTTCTTTTCTCTTTAAAATTTAAATTGTCAAATGTATTACTCTCAGGTTTATAAAACAAATCCCTACCCATCTCCCCTACCCAGATTCCATTTTCTAGGCCTAGGAATTTATGATGTCTTACCGTATTATAACCACAAAACTCCATTCTTTCAAACTAGAAGTGAAAAGAAAAGGTAAAAGATGATAATATAACCGACTGTGAAAGGAAGCAATGAGATAAAGTGGGTTTAAATTGCAACAGAGATAAAGACATGATCAACCTGGCATTGAGGCTTGTCAGACACTGGAGTTGGTTTCTGAGGTAGTTATACATGCTACTGAATTTCACTCTTCTAATTTTACCCCAGTACCTATGAGGATCAGTCAGGGAAATTATTGAAAACCTGTCCTTCCAGGTGCACCTAGAGAATCTTTCTTCTTACCAACTCTTCTGTAATTGTGTTATTTTAATGCAGGCCTGCACAACATATGACCCGCAGGCCACTTGCAGCCCACCAAAGGATTTTGGGGGGCCTGGAGAAATTGTAGAGGATATAAAAGAAAGCAAAGATTTAATGAGTACTTTGTCCATGCCCTGCTTAACCCGCCTTCCACTAGTCACTACTGTGACCCTCATGTTAACTTGGTGAGTGGGTTGCCACTGCACACTCTCTCTGATTTGTCATGTGACCCACAGCAACCAACCATTGTCAGTCTGTTTCTAGTCTGAGAGGAGTGATTTCATGATAAATAAAAATCTTAAACAATAAATGTAATTAATTGATATTAATTGAAATTTTCCTTTTTTAATATGGTTTATTTACAAAACAGTTTAATCATTAATTATACCTTTACTTGGAAAGTGAGCCGCTAAATCCTATCTACAGCCCAAAGAAGTTTAGCCTATTTTAATTTTGGCCCCTACTTACTGTCAAGTTGTACAGGTCTGCTTTAATCTCTCCCTCCAATGCTTAACCTTCTTCCTCAACCCTCAGGATGTATAATCACCCCAGATTCCATACTTTCTAACTCAGAAATCACAATATTTTTCTTTGTTTTCCTCCATACTCCTTATGAGAAATACCTGAATAACACCATCAGAAAAATCACAGAATCTAAAAAGGAAGGGGCCTCAGTGAAATTTAGGCTAATTAGTACATGATTAAGATCCTATTCCCCCACCTCAACAACAACAGCAACACAAACATTCCCAGAAAATAAGCATAAAGACTCCAAGTAAAGTCTGCTGGCAATTGGAAACTTAACTATTCTGTCTATTCCACTTTAAGGCAGTTCTGATTACCCTACTATAAGGAAGGTTTTCCTTATATCCAGCTAAAATCTGCTTTTTTTCTTAGCTTTTTCTTGTACTTCTAATTTCTGAGGCCAAAGAAAATTGGTCTAATCATCCTTCCACATGATAGCTTTTAAAATCCTTGAGGCTAGCAATCACATAATCCCTTAGTCTTCTATTTTCCATGCTAATCACCTCTGTGTCCTTCAACTAGTTTTTGCCATAATATTACTCCTACATTTTTTTCTTACTCCCTATTTTACTCCTTGTAGGCCTCAGCTTTGTATTCTGACATGATGATGTTTGATATATGTGTTATGTAGTGTCTCAGAGCAAAACTGTCTCCTCACTCTTTCAGAAAACATCTGTAAAGATGATAAAAATAAAGCCAGTATTATTCCTCATAAAGTGAATCTACCCAAACAAAATCCCACCAACGTTCAGAATTAAAATATTTAAAGTTCTCCTTCTATAGGACATTGGCCTTTTCAGTGAGTAGGCATGCTTTATTTTTTTTATTTTTACTGATACATTTTGTTTTTACATCATCTACATTTCTTGATATATACTTCTCCCCTACCCCTCTCAGAGAGTCATCCCTCATAACAAACAATAAAAAAAGGAAAAGAAAAAAGTTCAGCAAAGCTAAAATGTCAGTCAAGTCATCAGTATATGCAGCATTCAATAGTAATAATCTCTATATCTTTATAAAGAAGAGTGGAGAAATATTCTCATATTTTTTTTCTTTGGGGCCAAATTTGATCATTATAATTTCATTGGAAACAACTTTATTCTATCATTTTTCTTTCCATTTATTTGGTAGTCCTTGTGCATGTTGCTTTCCTGCTTTGGCTTGCTTCACTTTGTGTCAGTTCATGTAAACTTTCCTGTACTTCTCTCTCCCTTCCTCATATTCGTCATTTCATGAAATGCAATAATATCCCACTACATTCATATGCCACAATTTGTTTAACCATCCCCCAATCAATGGAAATCCACTGTTTCTAGTTCTTTGTTGCTGTAAGAAGTTCAGTTACAAATATTTGTCCTATATGGAGTCTTTATTTTTAGTATTAACTTCTTTGGGGTATATACTTAGTAGTGGGTTCTTCAGCTCAAAGAGTACAGATATTTTATTCACTTAGCATATTTTCAAGTTGCTTTCTAGAATGGCTGGACAATTCTAGAGTACCTTTCCATAATGAATCCAACATTTACCCTTCTCATCTTTTGTCATTTTTGTTAGTTTCCTGGACATGAGGCTGATCCTCAGAGTTGTTTTGATTGTGCAAGAATATTTTATAAAGAACAGTTATCAGCATTATTTTCTGGCTCTATCCACAAGAAATAGAAATGTCTATATGCCTTTACAGATATTTCTCCTGGGGCCTCTATTTTGTGGAGGGGTCCAAGTTGGCCTTTATTCCTTTTCCTGCCCTGTTCTTGATTTCTGGACTTTTAAACCTGGTTTCTGGACTTTTAAACTTTTAAATGTATCTGCCATGGAACTTCCCTGAGCACCTGCACCTCCTCACCTTGAAATATATAATTACTCGTGCAGCCTTATTAATCTGGAATATCCCTCTGTAAGGCCCACACTCTGTGTCATTGGTGAGTTTCTCCGAGGACCTCCATTTTGTACAGTAGCCCAACCTAGTCTTCCTTCACTGTTCCTGGCTACCAGACTTCAAAATCATGTCTTCACACCTGGTATCTCAATTTCCCATTGCTCCCTTCTAGGCTTTTCAGCTCTTTTTGGTGTGGTATTTTCTCAGAATAGAAATGTAAGCTTTACTTGTATTTGTATCCCTAGCACTTAGCATAGTGGCTGGTACTTAGAAACTGCTTAATATATGTGTTTGTTTTCTTTGTTCCTTGCTTCCTTCTCAAAGGTCTAAAAGGCACCATATAATGTACCCATCATGCATCTTTTTATTTGATGCCAAGGTTATGTCTAAGACACAGAGCTACAGACATGAAATACCTACCTTTAAAGTATCATTTGGGTAACGAATATCTGAACTTATAAAAAGGCCCATTGTTGAAAGGACCACTAAATGATAATTTGTTAAGACAATGTCCACAAGCATAGATTTCTGGCACTCTAAAGAAGGAAAAATAACAAGAAGTCATTATAAATTCATTTATGAATTGAAAGCACAATCACAGGGATCAGGATCAACATAATTTATTTTCATAGCTTTGTTTTCTCTTCATGATATAGATGAGGACAGATAATAATTGGATAAATGTGATTTAGTTGTGTTGGCACAGTGCAATCCTGGGAATTAAAAACTCTAAGTTTCAAAAAAAAAAAATTAAAAAATTAAAAAAATAAAAATAAAAAAATAAAAAACTCTTGGTTCCTAAACCTAATTTGACTGATTTGCCAATGAGCCTTCAGGGAGTTACAATGTCTCCAGTCCCTTATTTCCTGTTTCTTCCTTTGTGACATTATGGAGCAATAACCTATTCAAGTATGCTATGAGACTTCAAAAGTCCTTGGGATTCTATAGTTATCAACAATCAGAGTTGAGGTGGAACTTAGAAAATAACTAACTCAAACTTCTCATTTTAAAAGTGAAGAATCTAGAGTTTCAGGAAAGGATTTGCCTAATGTGCTATCAAGAGTTGGGAATGGGGGGCAGGGCACAGCTACATGGCGCAGTGGATAGAGCTCCAGCCTTGAAGTCAGGAGGACCTTAGTTCAAATCCGGCCTCAAACACATAACACTTACTAGCTATGTGACACTGGGCAAGTCACTTAATCCCCATTGCCCAACCCCCCCCCCCAAAAAAGAGGTGGGAATAGAAGTGCTACCAATGAAATCTTTGGCCAAAAAAGTTACCGTCATCATTCTGGACAACGCAGATACTACTTGTGACATCATACCAAAAAGTTTCCTTATTCTCCCAAAATCCAGAAAAAGTCACACCAAAGAAATATCCTAAAAAAGAAATACAAAATAAAGTTTTAAATGGGGGTAAATACAATTGGGGCAGCTAGGTGGCACAGAAGCTAAGACCACTGGCCCTGGGCTCAGGAAAACCTTAGTTCAAATCCAGCCTCAGACACTTCCTAACTGTGTGAGCCTGGTCAGGTCACTTGACCCTGTTTACCTCAATTTCCTCATCTGTAAAATGAGCTGGAAAAGAAAATGGTAAACCACTCCAGCATCTTTGCCAAGAAAACCCCAAATGGGGTCACAAGCAATTGGATACAACTAATCAACTAAATAGCAACAACAAGAAACACAAGAAAAATAAATGTAAATGCCCAAGATCAAACAATTCTTAAAAGATTTTAAGCAAATTCTACAGTGTCTGGCCAGTAGGCAAAACTTTTATGGGGCTACTACATACTGCTCTTCATCTTTATCACATCCCTCACAAACTAAAAAATACATTATTTTAATTGGTCAGATATAATACAAGGCTTCAGAATGAATACTTGATTGAATTTCTGGTCTAGTTAACACTGGGAAGAATATAAGAGCTCACATTTCTGCAGCATTATTTTTTAGTTAATTTATTTATTTTTAGTTTTCAACATTCACTTCCATAAGATTTTGAGTTCCAAATTTTCTCCCCATCTCGTCCCTCCTCCCACCCCAAGATGGCGTGCATTCTGCATACCCCTTCCCCTGATCTGCCCTCCCTTCTATTATCCCCCTTCTCTCATTCCCTTCCCCTTCCCTTTCTATTTTTCTGTAGGGCAGGATAGATTTCTATACCCCATTGTCTGTATATCTTATTTCCTAATTGCATGTAAAAACAATTTTTAACATTTGTTTTTAAAACTTTGGGTTCCAAATTTTCTCCCTGCCTCCCTCCCCACCCAGCCACATTGAGAAGGCAAGCAACTTGATACAGGTTATACATGTGTAGTCATGCAAAACACTTCCATAGTAGTCATGTTGTGAAAAACTGACTCTATTTCTTTCTTATCTCCTTCCCCCCATGTTCCTGTAGGTTGAGATAGATTTCCATACCCAATTAAATGTGTCTATTATTCCCTCCTTAAGCCAAATACAATGAGACTAAGATTCATTCATTCCCTCCCACTCCCCCCCCCGCCACTTCTCCTACATGGTAAAAGCTTTTGCCTCTCTCTTTTATGTGAGATAATTTACACCATTCTAACTCTCCCTTTCTCCTTCACCCAGTACAATACTCTCTCACCCCTTAACTTTACTTTTTAGATATCATCCCTTCATCTTCAACTCACCCTGTGCCCTCTGTCTATATATATATTCCCTCCAACTGCCCTACTACTGAAAAAGGTCTCGTGTGTTACAAATATCATCTTTCCATGTAGGAATGTAAACAGTTCAACTTTAATAAGTCCCTTATGATTTCTCTTTCCAGTTTACCTTTTCATGCTTCTCTTAAGTCCTGTATTTGAAAGTCAAATTTTATATTCAGCTCTGGTCTTTTGATCAAGAATGTTGAAGGTCTTCTCTTTCACTGTATCTTCATTTTTTCCCCGAATGATTATACTCAGTTTTGCTGGGTAGGAGATTCTTGGTTTTAATCCTAGCTCTTTTGACCTCTGGAATATCATGATCCCTTAATGTAGAAGCTCCTAGATCTTATGTTATCCTGATTGTGTTTCCACAATACTGGAATTATTTCTTTCTGGCTGCTTACAATATTTTCTCCTTGACCTGAGAACTCTAGAATTTGGCTAAAATATTCCAATTAGTTTTCTTTTGGGGATCTCTTTCAGGATGTGATCAGTGGATTCTTTCCATTTCTATTTTACCCTCTGGTTTTAGAATATTAGGGCAGTTTTCCTTGATAATTTCTTGAAAGATGATGTCTAGGCTTTTTTTTTTTATCATGGCTTTCAGGTAGTCCAATAATTTTTAAATGATCTCTCCTGGATCTATCGTCCAGGTCAGTTGTTTTTCCAATGAGATATTTCACATGGTTTTCTATTTTTTCATTCTTTTGGTTTTGTTTTACAATGTCTTGATTTCTCATAAAGTCATTAGCTTCCGTTTGCTCCATTCTAATTTTTAAGGAATTACTTTCTTCAGTTGTAAAATGATCCAACCATTTTGGACAGCAATTTAGAACTATACACAAAGAGCTACAAAAATGTGCATACCCTTTCACCCAGCAATAGCACTTCTAGTGCTGTATCCCAAAGAGATCATAAAAATGGGAAAAGGACCCACATGTACAAAAATATTTATAGCAGCTGTTTTTGTGGTGGCCAAGAATTGGAAATTGAGAGGATGCCCACCAATTGGGGAATGGCTGAGCAAGCTGTGGTATATGAAAGTAATGGAATACTATTGTGCTAAAAGAAATGATGAACAGGCTGACTTCAGAAAAACCTGGAAAGACTTGTATGATCTGATGTCGAGTGAAATGAACAGATGCAGGAGAATGTTGTATACACTAACAGCCACTTTGAGTGATGACTAAAATTGATAGACTTAACCCTTCTCAGCAATACAAGCATCTAAGACATCTCCAAAGGCCTCATGAAGGAAAATGCTATCAAACTATGGAGTCTGAATGCAAATCAAAGCATACTATTTGCTATTTTTTTTCTGTTGTGATTTGTTTCCTCTTTCTGGTGGTTCCTCCTATTGGTTCTAATTCTTACTTACAACATCACTAATGTGAAAATATGTTTAATAGGAATGTATATGTATAGCCTATATCAGATTGTGCGCTGTCTTGGGGAGGGAAATGTGGAGGGAGGGGGAGAAAAATTTAAAACTCAAAAGCTTACAGAAGTGATTGTTGATAATTCAAATCAAATTAAAAAAGGAATTACTTTCTTCAGTGAGTTTTTGGACCTTCTTTTCCATTTGGCCAATTCTGCTTCTTAAGGCATTCTTTTCCTCATTGGCTTCTTGGACCTCTTTTGCCATTTGGGTTAGTCTATTTTTAAGGTGTTATTGTCTTCAGTATTTTGGGGGGGTCTACTTTAGCAAGTTGTTGACTTGTTTTTCATGATTTTCTTGCATCACTCTCATTTCTCTTCCCAATTTTTCCTCTACTTCTCTTACTTGCTTCTCAAAATCCCTTTTGAGCTCTTCCATGGTCTGGGACTAATTCATATTTTTCTTGGAGGCTTTGGATGTAAGAGCTTTGACTTTGATGTCTTCTTCTGGTTATATGTTTTGCTCCTTTGTCTCCAAAGTAAGATTCTATATGGCCTGACTTTTTTTGTGCTGTTTGCTCATGTTCCCAGTCAATTACTTGACTTTTTAACTCTGTTAAGGTAGGGCTCTGCTTCCAGCATGAAGGGTGTACTGTCCCAAGCTTCAGAGGTCTTGTGCAGCTGTTTTCAGAGGTACTTCTAGGGACCTGTAAATTTTCAGTTCTTCCCAGGTGGTATGATCAAAGGAGAGGTGTTTACTCCTTTCCTGGCTTGTGCTGTGGGCTATGAGGGACCACAAGCACTCTTTTCTGCCTTGGAACTGTGAGAAGGATTCCCTCTTCACTGCTACCACCAGCTCTGCCACACTAGAGCCCCACTTCACCCCAGGACTACCACCCAGGATTGCAACTCAGATCCAAGCATGGGAAAAGCAAGAGAATCCTGCCTCAGCACCAGCAGAGAGATCCTTGCAATCCCCCTCTGATCAGCCACTCGATCCCCCCACCATCTGTGGTCCAAGAACTCCAAAAGTAGCCATTGCCCTGGGGCTGTGCTAGGACTAGGGCCAGACAATGTTCTTCTCTCACCCAGTTCCAACAGATCTTTCCTCCTGACCTTCTAAGTTGTCTTTGGTGTTTCTGGGTTGAGACATCTGAAAACTGCCACAGTCCTCCTGACCTTCTAAGTTGTCTTTGGTGTTTCTGGGTTGAGACATCTGAAAACTGCCACAGTCCCTTTAGGCCTGCTCCAGATTTGCTGAGGCCTGGTCTTTGCCTGCATGACCCATGCTGAACTGAGTTCCTCTCCTAGCCCGGCCCAACAGACCTTTCTCATCAACCATCCAGGTTGTCTTGGGCTGGAAATTTGTTTCACTCTGTCTTTTTGTGGGTTCTACTGCTCTAAAATTTGTTTAGAGTCATTTTTACAGGTATTTAGAGGGGTTTGGGAGACAGCTCTAGCAAGTCACTGCTTTTACTCTGCCATCTTGGCTCCACCCCCCATTGTTTTCTTTTGGTTTGGTTTTTTGCACAAAGCACTTTGCTCACAGTGATCCTCACTGCTGTGGAGCCTATAAAAGCATTACTGACCCATTTCAATGAAATGAGAAAATCAAGTGTCAGAGTCAAACAGTTTAAGTAAAAAGCCATCACAAGGCTTAAATTCTACTCATTTCAAGCTAAATATCAGCTATTAGAAAGAGATATTATATAATAACAAACTCGTAAACAGTAGCCAAACCATGAAAACAATCATTTGAGTGGCATAACATCTGAACTCCTTCTATAAAGGAAGCATAAAAAACACCCTCAGCAACAAACACATATGCACTCACAACACCCACAAGCTTGTTTCACAAGACCTGATGCATAACCAAGACCCTCATACACTTAGTATCATTATTTATGGAAGATAAGTTAAATATATAAATACATAATTACATATATACATGCATATATATATATATACATGTGTGTGTACACACACATATATTTGTTTGTATGTTTGTTTGCATACTTTCCCCCATTAACAGTGATGTCCTCCATGGCAGGGTTTGTCTTTTGCCTTTTTTTGTATCTCCAGTGCCTAGCGCAGTACCTGGCACATAGTAGATTAAAAGATGTTTATTGACTGATAAGATAAATAAAGGAACAAAGAGGCAAGGAATAGACCCTTAAACTGGTTGTGATAATATCTTCTCAGTAGCATGGATCAAAAAAGTAGTTTATTTTTATTTCTACCAAGTGTTGAACCATCCCAACTTCAGAGCTATTATTTCATGAGTTTTCATGTAGGATGAATCTCCAAAGATGAGAATGTACTTTG